TGAGTGATGTATCAGATAGAATATCACATGATCAAAGTCATGCGCAAAATCCTAATTTTACAAGAAAAGTGCAAAAATAATGAATTTTCAAAGTTCTACATATACAAGACAAGGTCTACATTCAATATCAATTACAATATGATCAACATGAGGTGCATATGATTTAACATGTTCTACATGTCTCACAGTAACAGACCAGCCACCATTATCCTCTTTATACAATGATTCTAATATTGTCTTTATCCTAACAGCTACACTGTTACTCCAGTACAACCATGAAGACTCCTTCACTTTACAACTGCTATTCCCTCCATCATTAGGAGCTGAAGTGATGTGAGAGGTGACATTTCCATGAACGTGTAGCCATCCTCCTTTATCTGGTTTGAGACAGGCAGCTGCAGTAGCCCACCCTTCTTCACTTGATGGTATCAATCCTAACAATACTCTATCAGCTATCCTTAATGGAGCTACCTAATAGTATAATACAAACAGTATACTATAGTGTAAATCAATAAACAAAAGACTATCTTTAATTTGTATATAGGCAAGTATTACAGGTAGATATAGGGAAAGGTAGAAAATTAAGATATATACTCTGTGCGCAATGTTACTAATATACATGTACAAGCTCACAGTTATTGTCATTGGTAAGTTTATTGTTTCCAGTCAGAGACAGTGAGAGTATATACATATGGGACAGTCTCTTCAGCTCATTCCAATCAATGTTGTTATTGTTTAATGTTAATGAACCAATAGCAGGGAACCTGGATAAACTTTGAAGACTTTTGACCTACATGTAATTAAGAATAGCGGTATTAATAATATCAAGAGCAGCTACTATAGGGCGGTTAGACACTAGCTCCCCCTAACCAATTATCTACTCTTGATAATAATAATAATAACAATAGTTCCACCTCTTTCCTCTGCTCATGATACTTCATACACTGTGAGTGCATATTATGCTGTATCTCCCCATGTACTGGTATTCCCCCAGAAAAATAATAATTATTATTATGTTACATTGGATCAAAGAGTTCGGTAGCAGCTGTGCAATAAAAGATACCCTATAGGCAAGGCCTCGTACTCTAGAAGGTGGCGCAGTTTACACAAAAAGTGACCAATACCAGATTGGGCGTCTCTTGCCAGGGAAGAAACCACCCCATAATACATTATTATCTATAGATAGATAATAATGCATTATCCTCATCCTGTGGTATATCCAGGAATCAAAGAGGGGCTACCCTACCAACGAAGTGCATGGGTAAAAGTACTTGTACATACTATAAGGGCATATCCTCTACCTTAAACTGCTAGAATTAATAAAAACTATTAAGTTTTGTATCTGGCCAGTATTAGTCAGATTTTCACAATACTTTTGTGTTGTTATCATTATGGGAAGTATTGAGTATTGACTAGTAACTATTTTGCTACATAAAGTTTTATTCATTTGTGATAATGGTACACATGCATTACTATTAATTTGGACACTTGTATATGTACACTAATGACTGGTGGCTGTAATATTGTAAAGAGATTTTGATTGAGAATATAGAACATGTAATTATAAAATTAAACTGCTCCAAAATACAGTACTCTCTCTCTCTTTCTCTCTCTCTCTTACTCTGTTCCCTGATAGGTCAATGGTCCAGAGTTCCCTACACCACTCAATGTTACTGATACTGTCAATCACATTATCCTCCAGTATTAATGTATGGAGCTTCTGACAGTCATCCAACTGCT